TTAATTTTGCTTGGAGTGTTTCTTTAACAATTTTACATCCCTCCCAATAGTATCTCTATTCCTATTTCACATAGTTACGAACTGAAAGTACAGGAACATTGATGGTGAGAGAAGAATGATATATTGATGATATATTGAACACATTTAATGCAGTCAAATTATTTTTAAGTTTAACTTTAAGATTAAGTTAAGTGTTTTCCTAAAATAGTATCGTATTTCAAGTAGTAAAAAATATGTATTTTTACAGCTAACATTAGTAAAACTACTTTCTGTGTTTTTACTCGGTTTTATTTTTTTTAAGTAGTCATTCCATAATTGGCACAGTATTGGCAAAAATAATTCTAAATAGAACCCTTAATTTTCAAGGAATGCCATTGGCCTTTGCCGTTACACAGCCAATATTGCTGATTGAAGCATAGTCCTATTGGTCGTTTCTGAAACTGGTACACAGTGTCTTGCAGAGAGATTGATTTTGGGGGAGATTTAAAGTAAATAACTTGTGTAACCCTACAGACAAGACTTGTTTGCGAAATCTTCTTTTGGTTAGCATAAAAGCCTAGCTAAGTAAATGTATCAGTAACCGTTTTCAATCATCAATGCAAGAGAGGACCACTGCTGTGAATCAAGATGATGAGGTGGAGGAAAGGGATTATGGTGTGGAATGCAGAATGCTCTGGGAAAGTTATCCAAACACTTTTATGGTTTTTGTAGGATGGTACACAGTTGCTGTCCGGGAGCAGGACAAGGAGACAGAAGGGGATTAATGGACAATCAGATTACAGAGATAAAGTGTTGTTTGAACAGGTTCAAACGATTACATGGCCACACCTATAATCGCATCACAGAGGATGATGCCCAGTTGGCTGCTGGTTTAGCAAATTCGATGGTCATGAGTTTAATGAAATCCAAAATAACATCTCTGGGAAATGGTCACTGGCGACAGCAGGATGTTCATCCTCGGTATACGAGCCTTTCTATGCTGGAGGGAGAAGAAAAATCTGTATGTTAACATGTGCACAAAATAAAAACTGGTCATATCTTTAATATCGATACTTTGTGGCCGAATCAGATATTCCATCTTAGGGATCAATGACGGATTTCTAATAACACATACATTTTCTGTATTTTGTACATAGTATATTTATTCACAATCCATGAGACTAGGTCTGCCTCATCCAATGAGCAACACGGGCATATAAAATGGTCTTCCATCAAAGTGACCCCTACAGACAGTTTTCCCAAAGAAAGACATATAAATGATAAACAAAAAGCTTAATTGAAAGGGTCAGGAGAAGTTAAGCACAGAGAAAGGGCAAACATTTTCATCCATTTAAAAGCCTTCAAATGGCCAAACATGATATGAATGCAGAAGGACCTACTATTAAAAGCTGTGCCCGTAGTTCAGCAGTGTCTTAAAGTGGCCACAGCCAATTAGAGAAATTGTCAAATCAGTCTGTAACTTTAAAAAAAAAAACTATAAAATGATCAACGAAATACCTCTAGACAGCTATAAAGAAGGTGGTGTCTAGTAAAATATGAAGTCTAGAAAGTATAAGTATGTAATAATAACTGAAATAATAATGATAATTATTCATTAATGAATCATATTACTTGAAGTCACATGTAAGGCGCACAATGTGCTAATGTGCATGCAAACCTGTGGAATGGGCATGTAGTACAACCTTGTGGAACTTGCCAACTGGTTATACCTGGAATATTGTACACTGTTATATATCTCCTTAATTCTGCTACCCTTAGTCCAGTCTGCAGCTGTTCTGATCCCATTCGTACTGAAAGTGCCTGGTCTGTGACAATACAGGTAGCCAGATTACTAAAAAAGTAATATTGACCTCTGAGCTACCGCTACTAGAATCGGTGTCATAGGTTTATCACAAAGAACCTAGGACAACACTGGTATACTGTGTAAAATCTGCAATAAACATAAAACGTCATGTTTGGATTTTATAAGATTTGTAACTTTTTTAATTTTAATGTTTTTTGGAAACTTATATTTGGGTTTGGTTTCAGGGAGTACCAGAACTTAGTATGCTACTTGGGTATCAATGAGCAGCAGCTTCTACAAAATGTATTATTAACAGATAAACCACATCAACCTAGATATCCACCATCAATTCTTAAAGGTACTCTCCAAACACAATATGGTTCCAGAAGTTCCCTGGTGCCTCCCCATTGTAAAAAGTCAAACCATTTTAGAAAATGGTTTGATTACTTACCTGGGTTCTGCCATGTGCCTATCTCTGCCTACACTACTTCCACCAGAGAGCGAGAAGCTCCTGCTTAGGATTTTCTATCAACTCTCCTGAGATAAGCAGAGCACTGCAGGGCTTGCTTATTGGTTGAGGGCATCATCATCTGATTGCAGTTTTTGGCTATCTCTCGTTGATAGTGGAGGCAGACCCCAGGTAAGAAATTCTGTTTTAAAATAGCTTAAAGGGACACTGTAGGCACCCAGACCACTACAGCTCCTTGAAGTGGTCTGGGTGCAATGTCCCATGTCCCTTAACCCTACAGTGGTAATTATTGCAGTGTCTGAGAAACTACAAAAGTTACCTTGCAGGGTTAATTCCTCCTCTAGTGGCTACCAGACAGGGTTAATTCCTCCTCTAGTGGCTACCAGACAGCCACTAGAGGGACTTCCAGGTGTTTAGACAACTTTTGGTGGTCTAAACGATGGTGGACATCTTCACACTATGCATGAGGACTTCCAGCATCACCGGAATTGATTCATGCTTTCCTATAGGGAAATCCTAGTGCAAGCTCGGCCATTGCTGCGCATGCACATTAGGTCTCCCCCGCCGGCTGACGTCGACGGGGGAGGAGCATGGGCAGAGCTTGACCCAGCGCAGAGGAAAATCAGCGCCAAATTCAGGTAAGTGACTGAAGCACCACGGGGGGTTGAGGGGAGCACTGTAGGATTCTACCACCGGGGGGGGAGGGGGAGGGGGGCACTGTAGGATTCTGTAGTGCCTTTAACTGTTTACAACGAGATTTCTCCTGGCACCATAACCACTAGAATGTGCTGTATTGGGTATTTTGCCTGGAGTGTTTCTTTAACAATTTTACATCCCTCCCTAATCCTGTTTCACATAGTTATGAAGTAAAAGGACAGGAACATTGAAGGTGAGAGAAGAATTATATATTGAACACATTTAATGCATTTAAATTCTTTTTAAGTTTAACTTTAAGATTAAGTTAAGTGTTTTCCTAAAATAGTATCATGTACTACAAAATGTGTTATGGGATTACTCAATGATTACTGCTTACTAATTACCTAGAATGAGGTGTGAATGCCAGGAATATGTTCTAATGTAGGTGTTAACAGCGCTATTACCAGGCTTATTTCATTTAGCATAATAAATAATGTGGGAGCCCTAGGGGTCTGCTACCAATTCCTAAGGTTTAGGTTACACCCTCTGTGTATTGGGACATCTGATCACATTCACAGTGGGGTCTCTTTTTTTTACAAAATTTGGAAGTGCAAACATTTTGAACAATAGATAACTGGATTAAAAACTGAAATCTAGCTATTCACAACATGCAATTAATTTGTAAATTACTCTATTGTACTCACTTTCACATAATGACATAATGACTGTTCCTTGGGGTCTGCTAGCAAAAGTAAGTTAAAGAGCAAAGAGAATAGTGACAGTTTATCATATACATGAGCTGATTGTAAAATCTGACTTTGAAGGAGTTGCCTCTGAATTAGTTAAACGATACAAAAGTATGAACAAATGGTTAATTTTCAGTTTGCTACCCATTGTGGTATTAAAAACACCAAAGTCGATGTTTGATGAGCTCCGGAACGAAACAACATAAAATGGCGATACAAGAATGGTTTCCACCGCCAAAACGAGCAACACAACGCCTATGCCCACAATGGGTCGACGGTCCAAAAAACCCAGGGCAGACAAACCCACTGAAGGCAGGAACATCGAGGAATACCTCCGCCAGGCACAGGGAGCCTATGGCCCCAAGATGGCCGCCGACACGGACGATAACTCTGACTCCTCCAAGGAGATATTACAAAGCAGAACCGTGTCGGATTTACCACACCCACCACAGCTTTTGTGGGTTGTGCTGAAGAATATGCTAGCCAACCTCCAAAAAAGCTGCGAGCCGACACGACCACAATCCGGACTGACCTTTCAGGCCAGGTCGGAAGACTGACCACCGTGGAGACGGCATCAGACTTCCACACAAAGCCACTAAAGACCCTAGAAGCGGAGATACGGGCCCTTAAGAAGCAGCAAGCCACCGTGGAACAACGCTTTGCGCAAACGGAAGATGCCAGGCGTCACACAAACATCAAAGTGCGTAGGCTCTCTGAGGATATACCTAACGGGGAGCTCCCACACCTTATGAGAAGGTTGTTGGAGTTCCTCTTACAGCCCAAGCAAGCGAAAAACATCACCTTTGAGGGGGTATTTCGAATACCGAAGCCGAGAGGAGCCCCAGCACTAGCATCCAGGGATGTGGTGGTACGCTTCCACTCCCACAGAGACAAAATGCTGATACTAAACGCACCTCACCCTACGTCTTCGAGAACTTGAGGCTCTCATTTTACGCAGACCTTACCAGGGACACCATGATGTGGAGAAAGTCAATGCAACCCTTCACAAGCCAACTTAGAGCCCTGGACATCAACTACCATTGGAGGTCACCGTGGATATTCCAAATACAGCGGGGTGACGTGACCTATTCGGTGCAAACCTTGCAACAAGCGGTTGACCTGCTGGACACTCTAGGACTCCCAAGGGACTCTCTCTCACCACCCGCAACGAGGGGGGGCTCCACGATACAGCACCCACGACAGCAACCAAAGCACAAGACACTATAGTGGCCCCCACATGAAGCACGGAACCAGCCTAATGGGTATCAGACTGTTACCACCAAACAGCTTAATCCTCTAAAGGAAGCCGACTCAACGGTGCTTAGCACCATACTACCTGGTTAAATGTTTATGTTTACACTTAGGTTGTTTTCGTTTGGATCTTAAGATCCCACAAAGTTTTAATGTGTACCTTTCTACTTAATCCTCCTGCTAAGCGGAGTTAGTCCGCGGACGATTCGGCCCCTAACACCCGCCTCTGCACCACAACAACACCCGTGGGAAACGGCAGAGGCGTACTTCATCACTAGTGCTAGGTGCCTACTGTCACACGTAACTGCACAGCCTAGACTAGAACACCGATAGGGCATGGGCACACTCTCCTAACTAATAGCCTCTAATGTGACACAATGACATTCTCTGAGCAGCCCTACTATTCTATATCCCTCAAGTCACTCACACAATTTTAGCTGGTCTATTGGCCTCACAGCGAGGGCCCCCAAATTCACAAACCCAAGCATAGACGAAGTTGAGCCTCTTCACAGGGGATACCCCCCTCGCACGTATGGGTCAACACCACACACACGCTGGAACAACCATGCAAGATATCCACGGTTACCATACCCACAGACACTAAGGAACACCAGCCAGACATCTATCCTGTGCTATTTAAATACTGCTACTATAGGCTAGAGCTTGGATGCTTGTTAAAAATGTAATAACTAAAATGTGTGCTCAATCATGCTAATGTGTACGTATTGGCATTTGTATATGCTGTTGTGGCAAACTGTCGAAATTCTGCACAACGAAAAATAAAGAATTGAAAAAAAATTTGAAAAAAAACAAAGTCCAACTGTCTACTGTACAAATGTGTTTCTAAAGAACTAGGAGTTGTCCGAATTTTGGGCGATTGGTAAGTAAACTGAATTTTGTAACTCCGAAGTGCCGTACGAACATATCACAAACAATTATTTTGTGAGTCCGAATTCTGTACCTGTCACCGAAAAAACAGATGACTGATTGGAAACAGATGATTGATTGATAGAGGGCAGTCTCTACATTTTGGTTTTATTAATAGATAAAGTCAGAAGTGTCCAATAGAGAGAAAAAAGAAGAGCAATTAAAAAAAATCTCTATATATTATATTTTTAATAAAAATAAAAATATTGATATTTTAATCCTTTTCCATTTTTTTCTCTCCATTGGCTACTTCTTCACACTTGATATGAACAAAATGGCAATAAAATCTGTATAAACATAATAATTCTATTTTGCAGTATACTAATTGACCCATTATCCTTCTCTTTTTAGTTGTCCATGTCATCCAAGCCAATCTGCTCTGTCCACAAATTTTGAACTACCCAAACAATTTGTCCGTGTTTGTTTTCCCACCGTGCCAATTGACTGTCTACCGAAGCAGGTATCTGGCAGAGTGTTTAAAATACATCAGTATAAAACTCACGATTATGGTTTAGCAAAGTCTGAAAAGGTAGAGCTAAGTGGCAATGTGGGTATGCAGACTTTAAACAAAAGTGTTGACCAAGAAAACCTGTTGGTCTTTCCAAGAGTAACTGTCACTTTCCAGGATTGTTAATATTATGTTTATGTATTCGATTATGTATTTGAATATTTAGGAACTATGTATTTAGCAAATATGTATTTGAAAGGTGTGAAAAATTAAAATGAAAGCGGCACTGTCACCGTCTGGCAAAGGTGAGTTTAACTTGTCTGAACCTGTGCCTCACGGGCACCACCACCTTCTTCCAGCCAGTCCTCTTTTGCTCCTGGTTTTACAGAGCCATGAGCTGATGTCACTGCTGTACTGCCATGCATGCGTGAGAGTACAGCATTGAGGTCTACAGAGGAACCTCCATAGATAGAGCCAATTCCCTGCAGGTGTCACTCATGACGGCTGTGGAATTTACACTTCTAGATGACCGTAGCTCCGCAAAGTATCTGTAAGTGCCAGACGTAGGTAACATACCGTGACAAAGAAGCCACTACTTTGTCTTAGTATATTTTGTTTCAGTGAAATTCCAACACAGTCAATAGGAGAAATGAAAAGGGGTAGCTCTGATTCAGGGGTCGTGGCTACGACCGATGAATAAGTGCTAAGTAGTCCTGAAATTACTCTCCCAAAATGGGGAATAACCCTCGATGAGAAAACTTAAAACAAAAAGAAGGACCACAAGAGTCCTAAGTAGGAGAGTAATATGAAAAAGGGAAAAGGAGTCCCTACCTTTTAATGATTCTAAAGATACACACAGCAGGACAGGTGGGAAGAGGTATAGCGAAAAAGAGCCTTCCAGAATAGACACAGGAAACCAGTTACTAAGAAACTGCCTGCTAAATGTCTAGAATCCAAATGGCACGCCCTCTAAGTCTTCCCAAAAACAGGGGCCCTAATAGGAAAAAGGGTAACTGAGTAAATAGGGGAAGGGAGCAATAAAAAGGAGATGCCCCAAGGAGTAAATCTTAGGCAGAAAGCCCCTATGGAGGTCCACTTTCCCTAGTTACCTCGGCACTGTGATAAATCACCAGTGCCTACCAAAAGACCCTGTCCCTGCCTGTCAAGGATAAATAATAATTGATAAAGTAAATTAAATTAAATCAATCCATCAGTGCTACCAAAAAAGTGCAAAACAAAGAAAATAAAATAAAAAGAAGCTCATACCCTTTTTCCTAATAGGGCCCCTGTTTTTGGGAAGACTTAGAGGGCGTGCCATTTGGATTCTAGACATTTAGCAGGCAGTTTCTTAGTAACTGGTTTCCTGTGTCTATTCTGGAAGGCTCTTTTTCGCTATACCTCTTCCCACCTGTCCTGCTGTGTGTATCTTTAGAATCATTAAAAGGTAGGGACTCCTTTTCCCTTTTTCATATTACTCTCCTACTTAGGACTCTTGTGGTCCTTCTTTTTGTTTACAGTCAATAGGAGTATTTCATAAACATTTCATCTTTATGAAATAATAATTGTTCAGGGGGCTGACGGGTGTCAGTGTCACTTTAGGTATAGATACCCACACCTTTTTACCCTGCAAGTGGGTACCTTCATGTCAGTCCCTTGTCAATTATTGTCGTAAACTTTGGCATCCATTTAATTCTTCTGTAACATAGAAACTTAGAATGTGACGGTAGATAAGAACCATTCGGCCCATTTAGTCTGCCCAATTTTCTAAATACTTTCATTAGTCCCTGGCCTTATCTTATAGTTAGGATAGCATTATGCCTATCCCACGCATGCTTAAACTCCTTTATCGTGTTAACGGTTTTCAAATGATCACAATCTGTTGGAAAATCTATCAGATTATTTATCTATAGTCATCATTAATGTCTAGAGGGATTTTTGTAGCCAATTCATTTAAAAAGTTTTTCTAACCGATTGTGATCATTGGAAAAGCTTATCCAAAATATTAAATCATGGTCTTTTTCCTTCACACCTGGCAATCAGCATAGAGAAAACATACAGAGAAGAGGAGAAATGACACAATGTTTCTATTTCTACTCCTCATTTGCAATGTATGCCCTGGCCGTGCCTTGTCTGAACTGGATTATGAAGTCATTTGCTATATTTTTTTATATAAATTTGAAGAAAACTGAGAATCTCACTAATAAAAGGCTAACAGAAGTCATAGGTGTATTATATACCAAATGAGAAAATTTTCTTGTGGACAAAATTCTTCATATGGAAATCCAAAGCTATGCCCTTCAGCTTAAAGTAATCAGTAGAAATGAATGTAGTAGTCATGCTGTGAACTTTGTTCTAACATCTCTGTATTCATAAAACAGAGAATAAAGTAATACTTATCGTTAACAGTCAATAATAAGAAAGGAAAGCATCAATGTTTTTCCTATTGAAATTGTGAGCTGTATACAGAGTAACAATGCAGCTGTAGATTTTTTATTCTGACTATTTTTTTAAATATTGTTGTCTTAATTCCAAACCCCACCATTTAACAGGATGCGATTCTATGCTTAACCGGTTTATTGAACGATCTGTCTGTGTATTCTTTTAGTGCTTTATGGATGAATTCTCACTCGTAGTGTGCAATACAGTGACATTTTTGTAAGGCCTAAATCTACCATACAACATAAACCAGCAGCCATGTATATGGCTAGCTGGAGTAGGCTTCTGATGTCATGGGATAAATAATTCACCTTCTTGGGTTTCATTCCAATCAGATTCCGGTGGTAGAAAGGGAGAAGTCTGTGGGCTATAAAAGTACAGGTGTAAATTCCACCAAGCACAGCATTTTATAGGGCCTGCGGAGTTTACTTAAAGAGCTTCATTTTGTAACATGACTGATACGTTCGGCAACAGAACAATGAGCTGAAATGACACGTGGGCCTGAGCTAGCCAGAAACCAAGTCACAGAGGAAGGCTGTGGCTCTATAAAAGCATTGTGGTACGTGTTTCCACAAGAGAGATTTGTAGCACCTTGTAATCTCTTCTGTGCAGGAAGGGTCTGGAAGATGTTAGACAGTGACATACGAGCACAACACGTGTGCCATTACAGTGTGTTTACCCATAGTTATCAAATACAAAATGCAGCCAAATGATAACATAGAATCAATCTTTGTAATGCTATCCTCCATGCAGCCCTTTATTATTGTGTTTTTATATCCCACCTCCTCTAGATTGTAAGCTCTTTCGAGCAGGGTCCTCTTCAACCTGTTTTTCCTGAAACATTTTGTAATTTTTCTGATTTATTGTTATATGTCCCACTTGATAATATTGTAAAGCACTGTGTAATATAGTGGCACTATAGCAATGGCAATAGTTATAAACACATTTTATTGGAAAAAAAATAAATATAGAAAAAAAGAAATGAATGTTATTCATGCTATTTGTATTGCAGTACATATGACGAAGATCAATTTTGGGAGACGTCAGCTCCTGTCCATTTTATCAATTTGAAAATCTTCATACATTCTAAAACATAACAGCTTATCTAAGAGATAAGACAACATCTTAGACGACACTGGATTTTCTATCCTCTTGAGACATGGGTTACCATTGTCTATAACAATAAGAAAAAAACAATGGGTTCTCATCTCACCTTCCGTCTTAAAATATTTTTTTTGGTTCTTTATTTTATGGCTATTCTACTATTTTATAGAGGTCATTGTAGTCATTATGTTGCCTCAGTCATTGGATACAGTCCTCTTATTTTCTATGAAAACCTAGGATTAGCAAAGCGCTCAGTGCTAAAGATGCTGAGTGGGCCCAAACTATTAAAAAATGTTTAAAAAGAAAAACAAGGGAATGCACCCAGTGACTTGTTGCACCATAACCACCATGAAGAGTTGTGCTCATTATGTTGCATGTTGTCCTTTTATTTAGTTCTTCTATTTGTTTAATATA